TTAAATATTATAATTTAGAATTAAACCAAAACCTTATATTCTATTCTTGTAAAGTTTTCTATTCATTTTCCAAATTTTAATTTCATAAAAGTGTTCAATTTCAGACTGCACTTGTCAAATATGATCATGCCTGTACAAAAGGTATGTGAATCATGTAAATGATTAATTTATGTGAAATATATATTATTATTATATTATTGATTGACACTAGTATTTACCAGTTTCAGGATATCATCAAACTTTGGCTCGATACCCTCATCCTCCATACGGGAGCTCATCTTCACCCACTTCCTTTGCAGTCGAGTAGGTAGACGTCTTGCTATTACTTCTTGTATAAAACACGAGTTGAGGTCACTCATGCGATTCATCGAAATCATTCCATTCTTGTAAATTAGCAAATTATCTAAAAACTCAGTGAGTGCCTGGGAGTCATCCTGTAATTGACCACCATTACCCTTAACAGCCTCGAATAATTTCCCTGCAATCATCGAAGGTCTTCCAAACCTTTGACGTAATATGCTCATAGCCTCGTAGTAGCCCTCTTTTGGCTTCATAAACTTACAGCACTGTATAGCTCTTGCAGCATCTCCAGTGCAATATCTCATCAATTACATTAACTTCAATTCATCATTTAATAAAACACCACTCAACATGATCTCAAACTCCTTCACAAATTGTAAATAATCAGCCGGGTTTCCATCAAAACACTGTGGTTCAAATTTAGGGAGTTTGATGTTCCTATTATCCCTGAACGGCGAAACAATAACATCAACCATGTCATGCTTAACATCAGACACATCGTTACAATTAACAGACAAGTCACCATGACTTACTTTCCTGTTTGTATCCAAGACACTCTGTCCCTTCTTTGACCCAGGCATTGTTGAACTTGACCCAATTCCAAAAACGTTCCAGATATTGCTTGTTCAAAGAGGACTTGACCGACACCAGGATAAATGAACGGCGATTATCCAAACTTTCACCAACTGTTTGAATCCGCCAGATCTGTTTCCATCGTCAGAAACTGTCAATCACGTCTCATAAACCGTTAATGCCCAGCTCTCGCTACGCTCGGGCCCACGCTGTTCTTCGAAGATTTCTCAGAAACGCTTAGTTATAACGGACGCAAAAACCAAAACACCGATCTGCCGCTTTAGATTTGTTTATTGTTACACCAACATATAAAAGGAATAATTGAACTAAAGTCTGTAAATAAATATTACAATAGTAAATCGTTATATTACTTCTGACGATGTTTCACTCTTCTTTCTGAACAGCGACCGATGAGACGATGACTGTCGTATTGATGCCTCCGCGAAAATTGGGGAAGTTGATTTTAAGCAAACAACCAAGAATTGATCGTACAATCTTCAACTCTATTGACACAGGCCCTCCACAGGATCTTATCTCAGAGCGTAGTTGGTTCCAAATTCTGCAATATTTAATGGTGAAGAAGTTAGCTCTAGTGGTATGTTTATGGGTGTTAACTTTGAGAAGGTAGTTTTGGTTGCAAAGTCCATTCGATTTAGGATTAGCCCAGGTTATGGATGAGTTACTGTTACATTGCTTTCTTATAACTTTGAATAAGAGAAATAAATTGCACTTCACTCTCCTTAACCATAAGGGCTCTAAGTCCAGTCGAATACATCTGTCAAGGTATTCTGTTTGCTGACCATAGCCTAATATGCGTTTCGTGAGGAATCTTTGGACACTTTCAACTTTTTTCTGTCTGCTGATTTAAAGCTGCTGTATAAGTGGGCACAGTATTCAAGTTTGGGGCGAATGCATATCTTATATATGGCTAATCTGGCTTCTGGAGTGTAAACGTTGCGTAGCACAAAGCCGGTTAGACGTTTACAATCAGATACCACCTTATTTGCATGTTCAGTAAAGGTAAGATCTGAGTATGTTATCCCGAGATCTGTGACTGTGTTCGTGTTTGAGACAAGGTCACCGTACATGTATAGACACATGCTAGGTTTCCAACGTCCGAAGTATGTTATCCCAGATTTAGCTGGATTGAACGTTAACTGCCACTTTTCACTCCAATTACATAGACTATTTAGGTCTTCTTGGATTTTACTAACAATATTCATATCATTATAGTCGAAATCATAGACAACTTTGAGGTCATCTGCAAAGAGGTATGGCTTGCCATACTTGATCATAGAGACAATATCATTTATGAATACAATGAATAGGGTAGGGCCAAGAACACTACCTTGTATCACGCCGCTGGTTATCGGTTTGGATGTTGATAAGTGATGGTTGACTTTAACTAACTGTTCTCTTCCTGTAAGAAAGGAAGTTATCCACTCAAGAAGCCTTCCACTTATTCCATAAGATAGGAGTTTCAGTATGAGTCTTTTATGTGGGACTTTATCAAAAGCTTTCCTAACATCTAGAAATAATGTTGCTGCCGAACGACCTTTGTCTACACATTCAGTAATGTGGTCGAAATAATCTAAGTGGCACGTAATGCACGATCTTCTATTTAGGAAACCGTATTGGAAAGGGGATATTAAGTCATTCGAGAGCAAATACTGAACAATTTGCTTCTTTACAATCTTATCCATCACACGTGAAACTACGGAAGTAATGTTGGTGGGGCGGTAATTATCTATGTCCGCCGTAGGTCCGGTTTTGTGAATGGGTACAACGTAGGATTTCTTCCAGCTATTTTGATATGTTCCACTCCTTATCGAAGTTGAAAATATCCTGAGAAGAAGTAGATTCATGTCATTTCCTCCATTTTTTAAGAGGACGGAAGACATTCCATCTGGGCCGGGAGTATTAGTAAGCTTAAGAGTTGTGATAGCTTTATCGATTTCTTGGGCGTTTAAGACTACATCGCTTAAAAACTTTTCTGTTTACGAGGGAAATCTATATCCTGGTCATTTTCTAGAGTGTACAGTTTGGCAAAGTGCGTGATAAACACCTCACATATTCTTATGTACTAGGTTCCCCGTCGCCAAATTGTTATGTACTAGTTTCCCCGTCGCCAAATTGTTATGTACTCGTCGCTAATTGTTGTTATGGACTGGTCGAGAAACTAATAGTCCTGACGCGAGAAAGCGGAAATCAGAAGACCACTAGGTTTGCGAGGATACTTCTATTGTCCAAACACAAGGAGACGAAATAAAATGGTCTCACACCAAAGTGGTAAGTAAGTAAAGTAAAGTAGTTCACACAAAATGTGTATGCGAAATATATATGAATGTTCCAGACAAAGCGTGGGAACAAACCATTGGACAGTCTTAACATGAATGGCTAATTATAATGGAGTGTCGATCCAAATATACATAGCGAATATAGCAGACATGTCAACAACCATATATGGATATATGTCACTAAGCTACGGACTGTCAACAAACACTCATATTATATATAATATAATATAAGGAGAATACACATTAATAAAGGAGACAAGTTCACACAAGTGAAATGGTCACAGACTAAGCGAGCAAACAGAAAGAGAGACCAACATACACACACACATATAAATATATATATGTGGATACATATCACCTCCCCTTTTGAGAAGATTGATGATTAGTAGGATGTTTACCTGGGGGTTTATCTGGAACCTTTGAGCTTGTTGTTGACGTCTGTCGTTTCGTCTGCGTGTTGGGTTTGCGGCTTCGGCTTCGTCCGGAATCGTCTGACATTTTCTGCTTCTTGACTGCATTGCATAGAGAATTTAGTGGGACATCAGCCAGATGCAAACGATCGAACCAATCAAGTCCCAAAAGATTTAAATCACTCTTGGTGACGTAGCAAATTCCTGTGTATTTGGTATTGCGGAAGGAAACGGAACATTTGAGTTCACCAATTAGTTTAAGCTGTCCACCACAGGCGCTGACAAGAGACTGGGAAGTATTGGTGATAGGTGGTCTGCCAATATTATTCCAAAATTTCTCTGATATAACAGTAATATCAGAGGCGGTATCTAGCTGCAGACGTGCATCATGACCGTTCATCTGAAGGTCAAGATATTTCCGCATAGCTGGTGTTGTGACTTGACAGGTTGCACGTAGACTCAATGACTTTTTGGGGGATTTAGGACCAACATTTTTTGAGCTTTTGCTGGATTTTGACCTCTGGGTTTGCGTGGCTGACAAAAACCATTTTTATGACCGATGATTTTACACTTGCTGCAACGATGATTTTTGTACAGACAAGACTTTACAAAGTGCCACGCGCCACAATGCCAGCATGGTGATGGAGGGGTCTTCTTTGTAGTATTTTGTGAAGTTGGACGAGTATCTGTAGATTTCCGCAGGACATTAGAAGAAGGTGGGTCAGGACTGGATGATGAGAGATTTTTGCTCTTTCGTAATGCACGAATATCAGAGCTTCTCGAAGGTGTTGATTCGACCAGGTGTGTGTCTTTCTGCAGATTAATCAGCCGTTGATATTCATCAGCTATGTCATGTAATGTTAACTTGGGATTTTGTTCTAGCTGATTGAGCAGTCGAGTTCGGATATCTGTGAAACGAGGAGATTGGAGACTGCATATGAGAATCAAGGCTTTGAACTGATCATCTGTTAAGGATCTGAGTCGAAATCTCTCACATTCTCGGTTGACTGTGCCAACGTGAGTAAGAAAATCATCATTTTCATTCATTGTCAGCTTGAGGCAACGATAACGTATACTGAATAATGAGGAGTGATCTCCAAAATGTCCACGCAGCAGCTTTATTGTATCATCGAAACACTTGTCACGTGGTTTCTGGGGTAAAATAAGGTTGCAGTACCGTTCATATTCTGCCGGACCCAATTTACGTAGCAACACTCGCACCTTCCAGGCATCGTCTTGTGAGGCGAGATCAACAGTGAATAAATCCTCATAACGTTGATACCATGTGTCAAAAGTGACATTAGCCTCTGGGTCATAATTGAACTGTGAAATACTGTTCACAATGCCGTCGACAGATGGTAGCATGGTATGATTGGGATTGCTTGAAGGTGAAGCTGGACCAGTCTGTTGGTTAATGAACATTTCCATTAATTTCAATCGTTGTTCAAATAATAATTCCAATTTAGAATAATCCATAGTAAATTGTTATGTTGCTGCTGCTGTGTGGTTAATAGTAGTTTTCCCCGTCGCCAAATTGTTATGTACTAGTTTCCCCGTCGCCAAATTGTTATGTACTAGTTTCCCCGTCGCCAAATTGTTATGTACTCGTCGCTAATTGTTGTTATGGACTGGTCGAGAAACTAATAGTCCTGACGCGAGAAAGCGGAAATCAGAAGACCACTAGGTTTGCGAGGATACTTCTATTGTCCAAACACAAGGAGACGAAATAAAATGGTCTCACACCAAAGTGGTAAGTAAGTAAAGTAAAGTAGTTCACACAAAATGTGTATGCGAAATATATATGAATGTTCCAGACAAAGCGTGGGAACAAACCATTGGACAGTCTTAACATGAATGGCAAAACTCTCGGCGGTACGTTCGAAATTGGTGACATTTTTGCACGTGTTTGCTCTGAAATTTATTTACTGCTTATTGTCATATAATTCTTGAAATTATGGTCCAAATCTCTAAAAAACGTGTTCGTAGAAACACAATTGTTTTAGATAGTGGCTTAAATTCGGTTATAACTGCATTACCGCCTCGTAATACAGTATCAACTACTAGCTCTCAAAATGGTTTGAGTGCAGATCTCACTCCTGTGATACAGGTGAAAGATGTTCTGTTAGAGAACTCTGAGTTCTGTAAACTAAACCTCCTTTTGAAAGATATGCAGAGGCAAGTAAGTGAAATTCAGAAAAAATTAGATCAGTTTGATAGTATGTCACTGCCAATCTCAAATACCACGGAGAGCCGTTCTGATATTGGCCAGGTTAAGTGTTTACTGGATGTAACTCAAAATAAGCTTTTGAATTTAGACCCAATAGCCTGTCTTTTAGAAAGGCATCCTAAAATATCTCCAGACAACCTAAATAAAGCTGAAAATCTGATTGACTGCTTGGCTACGGAGGTGATGAAGCGTATAACCTCTTCTCACCAAGCTATAGTTTACAACGTCCCAGACTCTCTGCCCCTGAAAACTGTAAGACACAAAATCCTGATTTGTTGCGGCATGGCTAGTGTTCCATGTGAATGCAAACGACTTCGTAAAAAGTCTAACCAGGCTAATTGCCCAATCATTTTTAAATTCAGTAATTCCCTTGATGCTAGTAAGTTTACTAAATGTCAGGATCACTTAAGACTGAATAGCAGTTATAAGTCTATAACCGTAGCTCAGGATAAAACACCGTGTCAGCGCAGAATAATGCGTAGTAATAACCTGGTCACCTCCTCTAGCTCTAGCTTTGATTTACCAAATAAGGATCGTGCACAGCAACAGACACCTAGTGCTGAAACTAGCATTCAGCAAACTACACAACAACCACACCTGCCAATGGAACTAGGAACTGATTTAGATACCAGTACCCCTGTAAACAAAGCCTCATCGAAAGATGTTAAAATGACTAGAACTTCTGCAAGTTGTTCTAAGAAATTTCCCCCCAAACGTAGTAACCTCACCACGATGAACAAATTTCGCAGGGTTGAGACTAATGATGGGGAAGAATACTTTGTATTCAATAAGCCTGCTGAGAGTAAGAATGCCAACAAACCATCACTTGTTACGAAAAACTCCTCTCGAAACATAAGTACATCTGGAGGTGTTCCGCATGCTCCACCTTATAGAAAGTCAGGCTCCAAGACTCCTAAAGTCTTGCAGCCAAAGCACCTTCCTTCACAATTCCCTTTAAGTTATAAAAACAACCCGAAGGTGTATACCGGTATGACGAATAGCAGTTGGATGGGTAGACCTTCTGATGCTATGCCTTTTAACCGTCAACCTAGGCCCAACCTGTACTACCCTTATATCCAGGAACACATGGTAAATTTTCCAGGTGTCCTGAATCACTGGTACGACCCATGGCACCTAGGACCACCTCATTGCACACCAACTCCGATGTGCAGACACCCAGTCCGACCTCCTTTTCATTCATAAATTCTTGCGGTGCTGACGCACAAATAGATTTAGGTTATGGTGACATTTTAAGCCAGTTTGTAGTATCCCGTGACTTATTCACGATATTGCTAATTAATGCACGTTCCTTAATCAATAAGATATCTGAACTAAGGACATTATTATTAGTCGCCAAGCCTACTGTAGCTCTGATTACTGAGTCATGGTGCTCATCCTCAGTACTTGATGTGCATATAGGTATCGATGATTACACTGTACACCGTGCAAACAGAGATTGCAAGCGTGGTGGAGGATGTCTCATATATATACATAACTCATTTGTAGTCAGTAAGGTGGAAGATGAAACAATGAATAATGTACCTGACTCACTCTGGGTTGTCTTACATGGAGATAAGTACAAACTTCTCATAGGCTGTGTTTATCGAGCACCAAGCTCAACAAAAGAAACTGATGCGTTATTAGCTAAATCGTTTGCACATGCATCCTCGTTTAGTGCTAATTACAAAATAATTGCAGGGGACTTCAATCTTCCAGAAGTCAATTGGCTAACTAGTTCCGGCCCCCAACGCTTCGACGAATTACTTGCCACTATAGACTGTTATGGATGGCAACAACACGTCCAGACACCTACTCGTGGGGACAACATTTGGACCTTGTTTTTTGTCATGACACAATCCCAGTATCCACTTATGTTGGTAATAGATTTTCCAGTAGTGACCATAGAATGGTACTCTGCTCTCTGCCTTTCTCACCACTAAATACAGGAAACAAACAAGACTCAGGAAGCACAATATGTCGTAGTTACAAATATACAGACTGGGGATTAGTCCAAGAACTTATTCGACTCTGTCAATGGGATGACTATTTTACCACTGACTCCCTGGAGGCCTTAGTAACCCTGTTTTACAGGAATGTTACCCTTTGTCTAGATACAGTTGCCCCAAATAAAATAGTGAAATTAAGTAGACACCGAACTGAATATATTCCAAGGGCACACCGTAATAAGTTAAGGAAACTGAAGAAACAGTACTATTCCACTAAGGACATATCACTATTGCTCTCAATCCACGAGTCTCTTGAATCTATCAAGCGCCTACGCTCTCAAAAGGACCTCGACGAAGAGTTAACGGCACTTGAAAGTACCTCCAAAGTTTATAACTTAACGGCACTTCTTAAAAAACGAATGCAGTCAGCGAGGGAAATCCCATACTTACTTCACGACAAAGTAATCTACAATGAACCTGCCACTATCTGTGAACTTTCAGTGATTGGTTTGCAAACTTTAGTTTAGAAACACATATGCCTGGTGAAACCGCTCCCCTTACTATCTCTTCCCTTGAAAGCATTGTGTTCACTAATCAATTAATAGTACAAGCAATTAAAAGCCTTAAACCTTCCACTAGTACGGGACCGGATGGCCTCGCTTCGATAATTTTCAAAAACAGTGGGTGTGATATACCCTGTTACTTCTTAAATTCTTCTCAATATCTATGGACACTGGCACTTACCCTAGTGAGTGGAAAACTAGCTTCATAATTCCACATTACAAATCTGGTGATAGGGCAAACGTCCGCAATTACAGACCCATAAATATAACCCCAGTTATCTCACGAATCATGGAGAAAGTTGTAAAGATCAATTGTCAGACTACCTAATTAGGGAAGATCTTGTTACAAGGTCTCAACACGGATTTCTCAAAAATAGATCCTGCGTTACTTGCCACTTCGACTTTTTCAACTGCATCACTAGTAGTCGCGAAGCACGTAAGCTAGTCGTTGTTCTCTACTTCGATATATCTAGGGCATTTGACATGGTATCTCACAGTATTCTCTTTGAGAAGCTGTACTCTTGTGGAATTCGCAACCCATTACTGAACTGGTTAAAATCATTTCTAAGCAACAGGGTACAAATAACCAAAGTTGGATCTGTATTGTCTCATCCTAGGCAGATCTCAAGTGGGGTCGTGCAAGGTAGTGTCCTAGGTCCACTTTTATTCACAGTTTACATTAACAGCATTTGCAAGTGCTTCACCTCAGGTAAACCATTCCTATATGCTGACGACCTCAAAGTCGTCTACTCCTGCTACACTCATGAATTAAGCGATATGGTTACTAAAATACATCTTGAACTAAGTAGCCTTGCAACGTGGTGTGCTGAATCCTGTCTAAATTTTAACATTGACAAATGCGGCTGGATTTGTATCGGCAACAGTAAGCTTGATCTAAACCTTGAAATAAATGGGCGAAAACTAGCTAAGCTCAATTCAGTCGTAGATCTCGGTATTAGATACTCTAGTAACCTAACGTTCGCTGAACAGACTGATTATGCCAGACGTAAAACGCGAAGGCTGATAGGATGCATAACACGCAATTTCTTTTGTTGTGAAACTAGGGTTTTATTATACAAAGTATGTGTCCGACCTATCTTAGAATACTGCCCGTTTATTCTTAGCGGACTAAGACAAAATGACAAGCTTAAATTAGAGGGAGTGCAACGGCAGTTTACCTCAAGAACTCTTGGTTTAGAAAGTGGTCTGGAATACCATGAGCGATGCGTAAGACTAAGATTAGAACCCCTCTGGAAAAGACGCCTTAAGCTAAACCTTATCTTTTACTATAAGCTAACTAATCTTCTCTTGCATTCCTCCGAGCCAATAACTAAACCTACCGCTGTCATCAGTTACAATCTTAGAAATCATCACAACCTAGCTGCTATGGAGCACTGTCAGACTTACGTGCGGTACAACTTCTTCTTAAATAAGTTTTCAGTCATTTGGAATAGACTACCAGCTAATGTGCGCGATGCAAACACACTTCCAGTGTTCATCTCCTCAGTCACCAGACTGCTCAAAGATGACAATGCACTTTTGCGCCTGACTCTTACACCCTCTTTTTCACCCTACATAGATATTTTAAGTTGTTTAAACGTGTAGTTACAACAAACTACAATTATAAATTTTAATATTATTGGAACTAGATGATTAACATTTCTACACAGGACAGTAATATTAGTTTACACATAATATAAAAGTTAGCATAACGGGACTAGTTAGTTTGTGTACCAAAATAACCACAGTTACTAAACAGAATATATATGTATATATTTATTAATCACTCCTTAAGGACTCCCGTT